CCAGCTACTAGATGGTTCGATTAGTCTTTCGCCCCTATACCCAGTTCCCAAGATCGATTTGCACGTCAGAATCGCTACGGTCCTCCATCAGGGTTTCTCCTGACTTCGACCTGACCGGGCATAGTTCACCATCTTTCGGGTCCTAGCGTGTACGCTCTGAGTGCGTCTCTTTTCGCAATGAGAGTGAGGCGCCTCGGGATTGCAAGCACGCATCCGTGGATGCGGTCTGTCATCCCTCAGTTTACTTAAGCAAACCTTTACGTTCATTGCGCCTTTAGGTTTTGTATTTCCCAATGACTCGCGCACATGCTAGACTCCTTGGTCCGTGTTTCAAGACGGGTCCTGAAAGTACCCAAAGCAATAGCATCGCTGACCGGTAATAGAGTCCGTTCGAGAACACGGTAGCTAACAGCTCGAGGCGGCATCGATGCCGGACTAGGTCCGACGGCCAATAACAATCCGTGCTTGCAACCGGCCGAACGCTTAAAAGCGACCCTATACCATATCATTTATACCGTCTGGCAGTCGGCCGGAGCACGCGGGGTCTGGCGCGAATAAATTCGTGACAGGCTACCGCCGCGGTCGTAGATCGACACCAAACGGGTCGCGACGTCCTACTGAGAGAGAAGTGCATGCCAACGCCGCCTGACACATAAACCAACGGCGTATCGCGGGACGAATCCCGGTCAATCGCACTAAATGGAAGACAACGATGACATTGAATCTCTCCTTTCGATCTTTCGGGTTTCTCAGGTTTACCCCTGAACGGTTTCACGTACTCTTGAACTCTCTCTTCAAAGTTCTTTTCAACTTTCCCTCACGGCACTTGTTCGCTATCGGTCTCGTGGTCATATTTAGCCTTAGATGGAGTTTACCACCCACTTAGAGCTGCACTCTCAAGCAACTCGACTCTGAGGAGAGATCCTCTCGATACGCGCAACGGTCGCTACGGGCCTGGCACCCTCTATGGGTAAATGGCCCCATTCAACATGGACTTGAACTCGCCGCAACGCACCGAGATAATCGGATCCTTCCTAACACTACATTTCCCAGCGTCCGTCTCCGGCCGCGGGATTTAGTGCTGGGCTCTTCCCTGTTCGCTCGCCGCTACTAAGGGAATCCTAGTTAGTTTCTTTTCCACCGCTTAGTAATATGCTTAAATTCAGCGGGTGATCTCATCTGCTCTGAGGTCGTATTATGATTATGATGTGCTTGCAAACGTTAGTAAGCAAGCGCACACAAAATCGACGAGGAACCTTTGAATCGTCCAAATTTGCCGGAACGAAACCGCATTTCGAAGAGTTCGGGTTTCCGGTTATTGGGAGGGTCGCAAGAATATAAAATCTCTAGGACTCACAACCCGTTGTAATCCCACAGAACGTCAACGAACGGAAATGTCCGATGTTGCAAAGTGGACTGGCTCACACGTTGAGTGAATTATTTAAGAGCACGCATATACGCGAAACTCCATCATTCGCCGGCAAGCCGTTTAAAGCAAGCGGCAGTCTGGTAATGTTATACGACTCTCAGCCAGAGGTGGTCCGGGAACAGTATCCGAGGACCGCAATGTGCGTTCTAAATGTCAATGTTCATGTATCCTGCAGTTCACATGTCGACGCGCAATTAGCTGCGTTCTTCATCGACCCACGAGCCAAGTGATCCACCGTTCAGGGTGATTTTATATATATTTATACATGTTTCGATCGTGATTTCCTCGAAATCGTTTAAGATAACTCGGGCGATTCTGAAACTAGTATGATTACTATGGTTACAATTAGTACAGAACATCTAAGGGCATCACAGACCTGTTATTGCTCAATTTCGTGCGACTAAATGCCGCCTGTCCCTCTAAGAAGATATATTTGTACGCCGGTAGTGAGAACCACAACCAACAACGACCGAAGCCGAAGCGGAGGGTCTTTGCGATACCAGAAAGTACGTCTATTTAGCAGGCTAGAGTCTCGTTCGTTATCCGAATTAACCAGACAAATCACTCCACCAACTAAGAACGGCCATGCACCACCATCCACCGAATCAAGAAAGAGCTCTCAATCTGTCAATCCTTCCGGTGTGTGGACCTAGTGAGGTTTCCCGTGTTGAGTCAAATTAAGCCGCAGGATCCACAGTGCCCTTCCGTCAATTCCTTTAAGTTTCAGCTTTGCAACCATACTTCCCCCGGAACCCAAAAGCTTTGGTTTCCCGGAAGCTGCCCGCCGAGTCATCGGAGGAACTTCGGCGGATCGCTAGCTGGCATCGTTTATGATTAGAACTAGGGCGGTATCTGATCGCCTTCAAACCTCTAACTTTCGTTCTTGATTGATGAAAACACATTTGGCAAATGCTTTCGCTTCTGCCCGTCTTGCGACGATCCAAGAATTTCACCTCTAACGTCGCAATACGAATGCCCCCAGTTGTCCCTATTAATCATTACCTCGGAATTCCGAAAACCAACAAAATAGAACCGAGGTCCTATTCCATTATTCCATGCACACAATATTCAGGCGAATGAGCCTGCTTTAAGCACTCTAATTTGTTCAAAGTAAACGTACCGGCCCACCTCGACACTCGGTGAAGAGCACCTTGGTAGGATTTTGAGTTGGGCCGCCTTTTTACGGGCTAAGCCCACCGGTAGGACGTCCCACAGACATGCCTGTTGAACACCGCGAGCGGTGAACCGACAGTGTGGGACACAGATTCAACTACGAGCTTTTTAAACGCAACAACTTTAACATACGCTATTAGAGCTGGAATTACCGCGGCTGCCTCTAATCGCTGGAATTACCAGACTGGCGCTCTAATAGATCCTCGTTAAAGGATTTAAAGTGTACTCATTCCGATTACGGGGCCTCGGATGAGTCCCGTATCGTTATTTTTCGTCACTACCGCCCCGTGCCGGGAGTGGGTAATTTGCGCGCCTGCTGCCTTCCTTGGATGTGGTAGCCGTTTCTCAGGCTCCCTCTCCGGAATCGAACCCTGATTCCCCGTTACCCGTAACAACCATGGTAGTCGCAGAAACTACCATCGACAGTTGATAAGGCAGACATTTGAAAGATGCGTCGCCGGTACTAGACCGTGCGATCGGCACAAAGTTATTCAGAGTCACCAAGTCAAACGGTGAACAAGGCAAGCCCGCCACCGATTGGTTTTGATCTAATAAAAGCATTCCTTCCATCTCTGGTCGGAACTCTATTTGCATGTATTAGCTCTAGAATTACCACAGTTATCCAAGTAATGTGGGTACGATCTAAGGAACCATAACTGATGTAATGAGCCATTCGCGGTTTCACCTTAATGTGGCTTGCACTGAGACATGCATGGCTTAATCTTTGAGACAAGCATATACTACTGGCAGGATCAACCAGGGTGCTATATATATAATAGCATAGTGCGTAAATGTCCCTCGGCGTCACCCGAGAGACCACACTTTGTATAGAAAAGTTCGATGAATATTTCTAAACAACGAATTTTCTTACATATATATATCTGAGTCGTACGATATTCCCTGAACATAACGAAGAGTTTACATCGCGACTTGATATTTTATATATTCTGCGCTTACACAGAGGCTAGACCTTTAACAACCGTCGAAACGGCGGTCCGTACATGAAATTTGCGGTCCGCAGACCCAGTTAATTTCAAACAGTCTCTTTACCCTTCGTTAGATTGAAAACGTCGGGGCGAATTCATTATAAGAATTCATCGTTATAACTAACTTTTATTCTCGCTCGGAGAGTATTGAGTTGATTGCATTTGTATATTTTATTTTCCGCATAAGAGTCTTTGCGTCAACGACACATGCCCGCGGATATGCTGTACAGTATGGTTGAACCCGGCCGTAAACCGACACCCGAACATATACGGCGTATATTATTCTAGACACGGTCTACGACAGTTTGACCTGCAGCGACGGGTCGCCTCGGGTTACCGTGCGAACCATCACCGCGATGGTCTGGACAGGCTATATGGCGGGTCGCAAGAAAATAAATTCTCTAGGACGCGCAACCACTTTAGCAATTTTAGAGCACGTTGTGGTCCAAAACCAAAGTAAAATTGAAATATGAATATTTCACTGTGTGTGAGATTGAAAAATCTGCTTTTGCTGATTTTTCATTTTCTTAAAACAACGCAATGAAGCGAATGTTCAAATTCGCACAATTTGAATAAAATGTGCAGAGTATATAGAATACTAACGCAAGCGTTTACTACAATCGACTTTAAAACACTAGACTTTCATCTAGCGCCCAAAGAATTGATTGAGCTATGCGTTTAAAGTATAATATTCAAAAAGAACGCCGTTTTCACAACGAACTTCGTCATTCGCTCAGGCATCTGGCGATACCGAGCAGATATACATGGCAGTGCTCTCACACAATGCATAAGAGCGGTAAGCGGTTGTAAACCGCGTCACGCTGCTTTTGCACACTGCGCAATATTTTGCGACTAGCTCCGGTCAAACGTTAATGAAACGAATGATCATTGCCAGAGGCTTTTGCCCACAGTATATTATACTATAGGAGCGCACTTGATTACAGCAATAATTTGTCGAGTAATCACAAGATTTCATATTTGTGGTCAGCAGACCCAAATAATTTTAACTCGCACCGATCTAACTTTCATAAATGAATGATCCTCGGTGCGAGAAGCTTCGTCAGTTCTGCTTCACCACCCATCTATTTGACTTTAGTCCATTTGTAAAATCCTACATTATTAAAATATATAGATTTTATATTTGCGGTCCGCAGACCCAAATAATTTCACAAGGTTCGCATTAAAGTTGTTTAGTTTATATTTAGTGGCGGATTAGGCTTTCTGCCGCCCTAGGCCCTATCCGATCTTTTTATTAAACAATTTTTTTTTTTTTTTTTTTTTTTTTTTTTTTTTTGTTCAAGTGGAATAAAAACAAGTGCATGTCAGATTGAATTTTACGGTTTATTAAAATTGCATGAAAAGCTTACAAAAGTGTACAGATAATTAAATAATTGCTTACAAAAAACCATACATAATCGAGACTCTAATGTGCGTTTGTGGAATCAAAAAAATGTCTTACATTTCAATCAAGATATAGTAGCGAATATGGAATCGGACAGTAAACCATCAGAAATCCCAAAACTTCGAAAGACCGTTATTGGATCCAGCAAATACAGCAAGATACCTCGCGAAGAAGGTCGGACCAATATGTTTACATCGGAAAAGGTCTCGCTGCGTTCAACTTCATCAGTTTCTGACTCAAGACAGGAAGTAATATCTTCTAGTAATAGTGCATCTACAAGCCTCACTCAAACACATTCTGATGTCAAGAAACCTCCTAATTCATGGCAAGTAGTCAATTTCAAAAAAAGAAAAACTTCATTTGAACCATTAGGAATAGATGTCAAAATTCAAAACAGATTTTCGGCCCTTTCAACAATAGAAACAGCTAATGATGACAACTCAGTTAAACCGGCTCCAGTCAGTAAGCCCCCTCCAATATTTGTTTACGGAGTTGACGATATTAATGATATGTCTAATCAATTAAATGAAATAATTCCGCACGATCAATATTTCCTGAGAAGTTTAGCTAACAATACATTTAAAATTCTATGTAATTCTGTCGACCATTTTCGAACTTTATCCAGACATCTAAAAGAAACTAATGCCGTATATCATACATATCAATTAAAAGAAGAGAAGGCTTATAGGGTTGTTCTTAGAAATGTACACTTTTCAACAAGCACAGATGCAATTAAATTAGAACTATTAAAACAGGGTCATGTAGTACGTAATCTCCTAAATATTAGACATAGAATAACAAAAGAACCTCTTAATATGTTTTTTATTGATCTGGAACCAAATAGAAATAACAAAAATATTTATAACATTTATAAATTATTCAACTGCATAATACGCGTCGAACCACCGAGAAAGTCCAACAACATTATACAATGCACTCGCTGTCAACTCTTTAATCACACCAAAAAATACTGCAATAGACCATTTGCTTGCCTAAAATGCGGTGACAATCATAATACTAATGCTTGTACCAAAGATCCGAATGCTCCGGCATGTTGTTATTTTTGCGACGGTGCTCATCCAGCTAATTATCGCGGTTGCTCATACTTCCAAAAAATTAAAGAACAAAGAAACAAAACTCCAGTAAATCAATCAGTCATAAATCCAAATCCAAATAACCAACATTTTAAAAATTATAATAATT